GCATGGGGCAGTGTAGGAAGGGATGAGGCCCAGAGGTAGGGCATAGATAGGCCTGTCCCTGCCAGGCCCTCACTGGTGTCCACCCTGCTGCCAGGTCCCCCAGTGGGCAGACCCCTTACCTCTGCGTGGCTGTGGGCTCAGACTTGAGGATGGGAAAGAGGGGCTCACTCTCCACACCCTGCTCCTGCTTCAGCTTGAATAGCTTTTGCCGCAGAACATCCTGGTGGCGCTCACGGAGCCTGGGGACAGAAGGGTGGTCACCATACCAATTCCCAGGCAGGGCACATTTCCTGTGTAGCCCCAAGCCTGGCCTTTGGAGGAGTCTTGCCTACTCAGATTGGGGACATTGGAGTAACCAAGGCAAGCCAGCAGGCAGCAGTCACTGTGTTTACCCCTTGGTAACGAGCATGCTGGGATCTACATACAGTTCTCAAGCTAGACAGGAAGCTGACAGAGGGAGCAGAGGGGCACAGAGAGGGGGTAAAGGGAAGAAAAAGGAGACATAGAAGGGTAGGGAGGGGATGGAGGAAAGAGGGGACACAAAGGGACAGGCACCCCAGTTTCTCAAGATGCTGGTGACTAGTGAAAACAGCTGGTAGTTATAAAGGCTAAGAGGGGATCCAGGGGCTGAGGCCCCAGGGACAAAGCCTCACCTGGCCCTGGCCATGTGTGCACGTAGTTGCTGCAACAAGCTCTCCCAGTACCCCATGTCCAGGTTGGGGCCGCCTGCACGGATTTTGCCCTCAATGCCCTGGAAGATGACCTGCAGCTGGTTGTATGTCTTCCCCTTGAACACGGACTGCACATCGGAGCTGACTGAGGCGTTGACGCCCTCACGGCGCTCACCTGTAGGACTGGGCTGTTCAGAGTGGGCCTGAGTTCCCTCCTGCCCCACCCTGCTGGGTGCTCCCTGAGCTACACTTCACCCTGGTCAGGGATGAGGATGACAGCTGGCCTGCCTTGGAAAGGGTTGGCAAGGACCACAGCTGTCCCGACAGCACCAAGCAGCGGTGCTGTAGCAGGAGGTCTCAGAGTGGTTGGGAAGATGCGTCAGCCTGCTCACCTGGGCCCTTGCCCGAGGCTTCCAGCTTTCGGAGCTTGGCGATCTCATCTTCTGTGATGGTAGTCATGTCCCGCCAGAAGTCCACATTCTTGCCCTGCTCCAGCTCCATGTACACCTGTGGGGTGGGGCCATGTGGGAGGGGCATGAGGGGGGTGAGGCAATTAGGGTGGGGCAGCAGTGGTAGACAAAGCTGGACACAGCTGCAGGCTGATATGGTGGCACCTGGATGTCCTCCAGCAGGTCTTCCATGTCCGCCACTGTGAGGCCATTGAGGAAGGTGTAGGGCTCATGCATCTCCACGGCCAGGTCGTCGTCCTCTGCACTGATGTATTTGGCCAGCAGGTCAATGGGCTTAGCCCGCCCGTCTCGGATGCGGATCTTGGAACTTCGGGAGAAGACGGGGTGGCGAGGTCAGGGCCAGAGTTCAGCATGACCCGAGCTGACCCTAGAGCATCCCCTTGGGGTCCCACCCAGGCAGGCAGCCTCCGTTAACAGAAGAATCAGAGGGCCCCGGCGAGCCTGGCCCTCACCAGGGTGGGACGGCAGGTCCCCAACACATTTGACCAGGTCTGTGCTCAGACACCTTCCGTGAGGCCACGGGACCCTGAAACCCCCCCCCCCAAACAGGACTGCTGAGGGTCTGCCTTGGGAGTCCACATGTCCCAGAACCAGGGGAAAGGGAACTGTCTGCCATAGAAGGCTGGGGAGGGGGCGCACCGCAGCTTGGCCTGCCGCAGGTGGAAGCTGTCTTCCTGCTCCTCCCAGGTCTTGAAGTGCTCCGCCTCCTTTTCCCGCTGCAGCAGCTCCAGCTCCTGCTCTCGCATGGCCTTTTCCCGCTCCCGCTCCAGCCGCAGCTGCTTCACCTGGGGCGGCAACACAGAGTCACCATGGTGAGGGCCCCAGCACACCCAACCCTGGGGTGCCCCGGGCCACCTCAGCCTCCAGAAGCAGTTGTGAGCAAGAGCCAAATGGGAGGCCCCTGAGGTCCTAGGTCCAGCCATGCTTGAAGCGCACCTTCTGGAGCTCCAGCCGGTTGTCCTCCTGGATCCTCTTGTTGCGTTCCTTCAGCTCTTTCTCTTCCAGGTGGCTGATACCCTTCTTCTCCAGTGCCTGTGGAAGCAGCCGGACTCACTCAGCCACCCAGTGCCCCGCAGCCCCTCACATTCTACCACGCTCGTAGGGGAGACAACAGAGTAAGGGCCTTGGAATTGAGACCAAAGCCGCCACTGAGTTCTCACAGCCCATGGTAGGAAGGTGCCTTGGGTCAGCTCTTCTCCCAGAAGCAGCCCCTGGAACGCTGCACATCACCTAACAGCCATGCAGTAACCACGTGCTTTCTGATGCCTCAGAAGTGTGCCAGCATGCCTTGGTATCCTGCAGGTGGCCGGCAGCACAGCTGAGCCTGGTGCCTGCACAGGTGTGTGTCACGCAGTGGCCCAGGAGCAAACACTAACAGCAGGTTGAAAGGCACACTGTGTGAGGGGTTTAGGCTACAAGGGTCAGAATGGCCTCCCTGAAGAAGGACTGAGAGTCAGGGGAGCCCTGGAGGACAAGAACCACAAACAAGGAACTGGGCTGAAGGAACAGCAGTGCAAAGGCCCTAGCCCACAAAGGTTCCCTCTCAGGACAACATAACACCTGGCCACTCAGGGCAGAGCACCCACCTTGTTCCAGATGAAGGTGCCCAGGAGATTGTTGTCTCCAAAGGGGTTGTCAGTATTGGTGTACCCCATGTACTCCTCACCCCAGCCCATCTTCTCCCGCTTCTTGCGCTCCTTAGCTTCCTTCTTGGCCAGTCGCCGAGCACGCTTCTCCTCAGGCGTCTCGAAGGCCTTGAGCAGCTCTTCCTGCTGCCTCCGCTCCTCACGAAGCCGCAGCCGCTCCTGTAGGCTCTGCTGCTGGCTCAGGGCCAGGGCAGTCGCCCCAGGGCTCCGAGAGCATCTTGGGGATTCGGAGCTAGATGCAGATGACCCTGGGGACCACGAGCGCCGGCGTGTCTGCCGGGCCCAGGAGCCCCGTGCCCGCTCCTCACCCGAGTCAGATCGTGAGGACTGGTCCTGTGAGTGCCATCGGGGTGGCCGAGGGCTCCGGCTTCGCCTCCCAGACCTCTGCCGCCGGTCTCCTTCCGAATCTGATCTATGGGGAGGACATACTAGGGTTCGAGACAGGGTTTCTTTGTGAGGCGCTGGTTGTCCTGGAACTCTGTAGATAGGCTGTCCTCGAACTCAGAGGATCCATCCGCCTGCCTCTGCCTCCACAGTGCTGGGATTAAAAGGCGTACGCCACCACCGCCCGACTAAAAGATCTCAACTATAAGTCAACCAACAGCCCATGGTGCACGCAGTCTGGGCTACACAGTGAGCTTCAGGCGAGTGCGGCCACGTCAGTCCCCTGCTCACACGCCTCCCGGTCCCCGCCGCTCCGGCGTTGCCCGGCTGGCTCGCATTAGAGTCTCACCCGCCCCTCAGCCCCCAGGCCGGACGCCCGCCGAGTCAGGACGCTGACCTGCGCCCCCGGCTGCGCCGCCTGCGTTCGCGCCGCCCCTCCCGTTCCCGGCGCCGCCGGCTGCTCCGTCCATGACTCCCGCTGCGGCTGCGGCTCCGGCTCCGCTGCCTCCGACCCCTGCACCCAGTGGACCGTGAGCGCGAGCGAGTGTCGCGACCCATTTGGCGGTACGCGCTGCGCACGCGCGGAAGTAAACAACTAGGAGGCTTGGAGCCGGGGGCTTTCTTTCGCGGCGGCGCATTCGGGGCTGTCCCAAAGTGCGCCTTGCCCCGGAAAAAGACCAAATCTACGTGCTCAGAACTCTGGGGAGACATATACCGGGGTATCTCTTGTGTTCTCATGTTGGAGACGCATGACGGACTCCGACCAGGTCGCCGTCAGACTGAGTAGAGCGACTCTGCATTCAGGCAATAACAGAGACTGACTTAGGCGGGTCCTCGCGCCCAAGGGGGCCTGGGAAAGCAGGGCCGAGTCGCCGGTGCTCGAAGAGGCGGTTATAGGGCGGGAAAGGCGTCGCTGTGGGTGGGGCTTAGGGAGTGGGAACTTAGGTTAGAGCCGGGGTGGGCGGGGCTTACGGAATTGACAGTCCTGCATCGAAGACCTGGCTGGAGGGGGAGGGATATGAGGCTTAGTAGAGCGGGGCCTGGGAAGGAATGGAAGAGTGGCCGTTATAGGAGCGGGATAGGAGTGATCTGGAAGACTAGATTGACAGACATACATCAGTGGGCGGGCGGGCCAGTCAGGACCTGAGAGAGCAGGATCGAGGAAGCGGAGCCTGTCTGGCTGGGCGGAGGCAAGATTGACAGCCGTGGATTTGAAGGCTAGGCCAGGCCACCAGCAACGGACGGGAAGTGGAGCTGCGTTTGGCAGAATTTAGGAGTGGGAAGACGGGCCTCGATAGATAGGGCCTAGGACTCGAGATAAACAGATGCGGGGCTGAGGGCAGGACCAATGAATCCAGAAACTGCGGTTGGGCGGTGCCCCGCACGGAAGGAAGACTCAAGGGGCGTGGCTAACTTGAGAGGGGCCTATGTAGGAAATCCCGAAGCCCAGGAGACCTCACGGAGGCCATGTTCCAGCTTGGGAACATGGCGGGCCTGCGCCAATAAAACCCAGGTCAGGACGCGATTGTTTGTTGCCTTCCAGATGCTGATCTTGGGCTTATTCCGTCGGTCAGATCGTGCATGCAGCCACTTAAACTGTGAATAATCAATAGACAGAGAAACCGAGGCTTGAGAAAGGGAAGTCGTCTGGATGCTTGTCCTGTTTCAGTTGGGATGCATTACGTGGAAGCCCAACAGCCCTGGGAGGGTTTGGAGGGAGGAGACAAGTTTCGTGGTGTCCACTGGTGCTGAGCGCATCGCATTCCGCCAACGTCACGCAGCTCTCCCACCCCACAGACTCCGGCTCACGCTGAAGGTATCGGAAGAGAGCTGTTTAATACCCGATTTATTAGAGATTTTAACTTAAAAATAGGGGTTGTGGTGGGAACCTGGGTTGCATACAGATGCCGGCTGCTGTCAGCAGCAGCTGCATTGGAGGGACAGGGACCCCTGGTTGTTGCAGGGGGACACCGTACTTGGATTGTCACCAGACCGCAGGGGCTGAGGACCAGAGACTCCCTCGCCCTGATGAGTAAGACATACGATGTTTTGAAGTTTCCAGAATGAATTCAGCAATAAAAACAGAACTGGGGTGAGGGTGTGCAATGCGATTTTTAACCACCGGAGAGGGAGGTGAGGGACGGAATGACTGTGGAGACAGTACCGTGCCAAGGGACCCCACGGGGAGGGCATATTGCACTGAGGTTGCTGTGGGGCTTAACAGGGGACTTGCTGGAATGGCTAGGGTAAGTAGTAGAGGCAGACCGGGGACACCTCAGATTTGGAGGTACCTCTGGTCCTTACAGTACAATTCACACGCCGTCCATGGTGGGGTAATAGCGGCTGTTGGAGAGAACAGGATGGGGAATCACCAATATTTACAGATTCTTTTTTGAGAGGGTTTCTTGTAGCCCAGGCTGGCTTCCGACGTAGACAAGTATGACCTTGAGCTGCTCCTGTCTCCACCTCCCAAGTGCTGGGATGACAGATATTCCACCCCATGTGGTTTGTGAGTGCCAGGATGGAACCCAGGGCTTAGGCTGCTGGGTGGCCGTTGCCCACTGAGCAGTAACGCCAGCCCTGTGGGTTTTTGTTTTGTTTTCCTTTCTCTTTTGAGACAGGGTTTCACTCTGTAGCCCAGCCTAGCCTGGAACTTGCCACAATCCTCCTGCTTTAGCCTTCCAAGGGCTGGGATGACAGACGACACAATGCCTTCCTGGAGGAGTCTATGCAAGACTGGACCCTGCCTTTGTAGCCCCTGAATCAACTTGCTCAGCAGCTCACCACACGGGTGTCATTTGCCAGTCCCAAAACAGGACTCCCATCAGCAAACAATGCAGACCTTTGGAGGGGGCCCTGAGACTTACACAAACATGGTACTGTGGTGAGGTCTAGGGCAGGCATCTGTCCATCCCTCCTATTTCAGCCCCCATCAACACATCAGCTAGGGTTTGCTCCCAGTTTATGCCCTTTCTTCCCATGATGGAAATGGGTACCTGCAGAAAGGGCTGTATCATGTTCCTCACTGCCTCTGCAGCCTGCCGTGGTCCCTGTAAGCCAGCCAGGTTTTGACGTCTATGTCCCTGAAGGTGCAACCCAGTGGCCCATGGGGCTGGCCCAAAGGCTGTGTACCAGGAATTCAGCCTGGCTTTCAGAATTGTCCAGCTTGATTCCTATGAGAACACGGTGGGTAGAGTATCCATGACACAGGGACATGATGGGACTGTGTACCCAGAAGTCCCACATGGGGAGGGGGAAGCCTGCCCAAGGGAAGGGACAAGTCCCTCTCCCTGGTGTCCCAGTGCACACAGTCGGCTCTGGTGGTTCATCTTCAGCCAGGGTGTTTGAGGACCCAGCTGTCACTCTGCAGCCTGGAGTCTGACCTTGCTCTTCTCAGGGCAGCATCTGCTCTGAAAAGGAGTTCCCCGGGAGTGGCGAGGAAGCATGCCCTCAGCCCAGGGATTCCCCGGACAGGCTGCAGACAGTGTGGCTGCTACTCCCAGTCAGTGCCACGTGATTGTAACAGCAGGACATATGTGCTTGGGGACATACTCCCAGTGGCGGTAAGAAGATGTAGAAAGCACACATGGCTAGTCCTGGTCTGCTTGGGTCCCAAACCTGAGGTGACGGAGGGGTTCTGCTGAGGCAGCAATGGTGACCTCATCCAACTCAGGAGCACAGATCCGGATGACAAGTGAAGGCTCCAGGGCCTGTTCCCTCTGCAGGCCACCATGAGAGCTCTGGAGAGTGGGCTTTTCTGGAGTCACCTAGTTGCTGGGGCAGGTCCCCAAAAGTAGAAGGACATGTAGAGCCTAATCCGCCAAGGCCAGTGGCTGCAGCTTCTTCCTGGGTTTTGTGTCTTTTGTCTTTGTCCTAGAAAAATCACTCCTGTGCTCCTTCTCCGTGCAAAAAAGGACCCAAAATAAATACAGGATCGGGCACTCGGAATGTTGATGCCCCAACAGGTATAGGCAGGGGCAGATGGTTGCCCAAGCTATCCTGGGGACAGGCCTGGCCGGTGGCATCCGTCGGTGAGGAGGGAGAGGATGAGGTCAGGCCTGGGCCCTTGGGGTGATGTTGCTGAGCTCTGGGCCCCAGTGAGGGGCATCGCCTCCAGGAAGTGACTGGGATGGCAGAAGGACACTGGGCTCCAGACTGCAGACTGCATAGAAGTTACTGCAAAGAACAGAGGGGCAGGTGAGGAGGGCGGTGCTCAGGCAGGACCCCAACCACCCGCTAAGCCTCCAGGTGCAGCCTCTGGGCTGCAGATGAGGGTAGCCTGGAAGTCAGGCCTGGTTTCCCTGAGCCCTGTGGCTGGCACACCTAGAAATGCCTGTGCCTAAAGCAGGTGTGTGGGGTGGGGGTAGGAATGAAAGCAAGAGGAACAAGAATGGGTGAGGGGTCAAAAGGAGGTGGGGCTGGAGGAAGGGGTCACCAAAAAGAGGGAGGAGCCAGGAGAGGAGGGGCGGGAGTCGCCAGGGGAGGGGAGGAGCTCCGGCCTGTCCTCCCACCCTGCCTGGGGACTTACTGTGTCGCTCTCGCCGTCGGAGGCGGGCCGCGTGCTATAGTGAAGCGGGGAGTACACCCAGCTCCTCTCGTCGGTGGGCTGCGCAGCGCGTGCAGGAGGGGTGCAGTAGAGCGGGGGCGAGGAGCAGACAGGCAGAAGGAAGAGACAGAAAGTAAAAGAGGGGGATCCCCAACCCTTGGGGAGCAGCCGCAACCCCGGTTCCCTCTATGAGGGGCACCTGCCCCCCAACCCTTGGCCCTGGGAAAGCAGCAGCGGCAGCAGAAGCAGTTAGGGAAGCCTGGGGGTGCAGGTGGGTTGGGGGGGCGGGGTCTCCGCTCCATGTGTACCCCTATTGGTCTCACTGCCCTGGTCCCCTAGCCTGCTCTGGCCAGATTCCTGGCTGCTGGGCACCGCAGACTCCACTGAGCACTGCGGATTCAGGGACAAGACATGGCCACTGCATAGTTCCATGGGAGCTGAGCTTTGGCAGGCTCCCGCAGGGCCAGAGCCCCAGCCGGCCAGCCTGGGCTGTCACCCCTCCTGCTGCTTGCTGGGCTAGCTTCCGAGGAGCAAGCAGCACTAGAAGCAAGGGGCCACATGCCAGTGGCCCTGTCCAAGGGAGTGGTATCCCAGGCACAGAAAGGCCTAGGATAGCAAGGCTGAAGGATGACGAGCCAGTGACCTCCCAGAGGCCAGCCCTGTAAACATGGTCTACTTCCTGCAAGGAGCCCACCAGTGTGTCTCCTCTGCAGACAGCAAGCAGCTTTGTACCCTCACCTTAGCCATCCCTGGCTCCATCAAATCCCCACACTTCCTGTTTCCATCTTTCAACGCTGGGTGGCAGGTGTCACATCTGTGCTGTTTGTACTATGCCAGTGCTGTGCAGCTATGGGTATGTCACTCAGCCTCTCTGGGCCTGGCACTCATTGATATGGAGACAACGGGGCTAGCTACAAGGTCTCATGTACTGGGAGCTGACCTAGCGGTGACAGTGGTGGGGAATATGAAGCCGTGGACTCCATGTGGCCTGAGCCTAGATGGTAAGAAGTGTCCACACTTGTGAGGCGGGTGGGCTGGGGTCTGATGGACCCCACTACAGATGGGCAGCTGTTGTGGCAGTCTCTGGACAGAGTGCATCCAGTCAGGTTGGGGCTCAGCTGACCTCCACTATGGCTGTGATTTTCCACAGTCATTTGAGGAGAGAAGGGGTGTGGGGTGCTGTGTTCCGGGAGCTCATCTCCTCGTGTGACGGTCTGTGGTCACTTACAGCGCCTGTGCGGCTCGGTGTCACGGCCCGCAGTTGGTGACGACGGGGAGAGAAAAGCCAGTATCTCCCGTGGGCGAACTGGCCACACAGCGGGCCGGGCGGGAGGAAGGAAGAGAGGAGAGGGCAGAGGATGAGGCGGGAACCAGGCAGGGGAGACAGGTGGTGGCCAAGCAGGGCTGGTGGGCATAAGCGACTGAAGCAGAATGTGTGTATGGGGTGGGGACTGAGGGTCCCATCAAGGCCAGAACCTAACTAATCCAGGAAGCAGCTCTGGACTCTGCCAGACCAAAACCAGCAATGCACGCGCACCCTCAGCCCCAGCATGGGGAGACCACAGGCCTGGCCAGAGTTCTCTAGGGACAGGTGGGAGTGTGGGCCTCAGAGGCACAGCATAGAAACAGTGGGCGGCGCGTTAGTTGGGAAGCAGTGAGGGCCTCAGGTAGGTGAGGACAACCCTGGGCCCAGATGAGATTGCAGCACCAGGGACTGTGATAGGACAGCTGACCCCCAAGGGGCTGCTGCGGCTCTGAGCTATTTATAGGGCATGTCCCTGTACTGGGCCCACAACCGCTCTGATATTTCTCCCCATGGTGGATAGGGGTCATGGAGGGTCCCAGATCCCCAAGGTCTACACTGAATCAACCTTGTCCACAAGGAGCCAAGTCCCCACCTCAGGGAGGCAGGCAGCATGGGGCCTGGCACTCACTGGGTCCCCAGGCCCCACCATCATGAACAGAACCTAACCCCCTGCCCCAAGGACGAGGAGTTCCCATGGGTCCCTAGCATGCCTAAGACACAGGGCCTTGTCTCTGCTCAGGTCTCCCCATAGCCAAGAAGGGGCAATGCCCCTGCCACTCAGAGCAATGACACAAGACAGAAGCAGCTGTGACCATTCACAGGTGCCTTGGGGGCTGGGGAGGCTTAGGGGAACTTACAAAGTAGATGTCTGTGGAGGGTGCATCCTCCTCATCCGAGGCCTGGCTGGCAGGCTCTGAGGCCTGGCTGGCAGTGTCCACTTCCACAGTGGCTGCAGCCGACGCCCCAGATAGGGGAACCTCCACTCTGGGGACACAGGACAGTGGTGGGGTCCTAGGTGGTTCTGTGCACAGCCCGCTCTCCCAGCCCTAACTGGATCTACCAGCTCCCTCTCCATCTCGGGGGACACTGGTTTTTGGGTTTTGGAGACCGGATCTAGCCTGTAGCTATCTCTGCTGCACAGTTCTGTCAACAAGACACAAGTAGAGTCATCCTTGAGGAGAGACCATGAATGAGGAAAATGCCCTGTTTACAAGTCTGTGGGGGCATTTTCTTTCTTCTTTTATTAATTTATATATTTATTTTGAGAGTCTCTCTACATAGCCCAGCTGTCCTGGAACTTGCTCTGTAGACCAGGTTGGCCTCGAACTCAGAGATCCTCCTGTGTCTAAAGGTGTGCACTACTATGCCCAGCCTATGGGGGCATTTTTTTGATTTACTGATGTGGGAGGGTCCTGCCCATTGTGGGCGGGGCCACCCTGGCAGGAACTCCCAGGTAGCACCTCTCCAAGGGTTCAGTCAGTTCCTCATGATGGAGTGTGTGTGACCTGATAAACCCTTCCCTCCCTAAGCAGCTTCCAGTCATGGTGTTTATCATAGCAACAGAAGCCTTAATAAGACACTACCCTGCCTTGGCCTCCCCATTGCTGGGGTGACAGGTGTGCACACATTTCAATCACAAACAACAGCCTGGGGGTCCCTTTATCTAATGAGCAGCCAGGCCTGAGCTGTCCATCTTCTAGGGCAACAATGATAGCCACACATGTCCCTAGACACAGCCTGGCCTGGTGAAAAACCCAGGTAGTCACCATCTGTGAACAAGGAAGGTACTTACTCACCCTGCACCCTGCTCCTTGGGGACCACAATCCCCACATCACACACTGGTTCCACCTGCACTGTTATCTTCTGCAAATCCTCCACGTGGGGCTCCTCCTGGGACCTGCAGGGGATGGGCCAGCCTCAGTTTCCACCCTGACCCCAGAGCTGCCTGCAATTCTTGGTCCCCCCCGGGGGGGGTGTCCTAGTCTGGGGACTTTGAGGGAGCAGGAACAGCTGGGTCCTGCTGTGGCCTTGGAGGGGGGGTATTCACAGCACAGGAGGTGGCCAGCAGCCCACACACTGGGAAGCTAGGTACTGCTGGGTGTCTGGACCTGAGATGCAGGAGGGTCGGAAGGTTCTGGAAGCCGGCCAGGCCTGCAGTGTCTGTGGGGTGAAGCCTGGAGCTCAATGCCAAACGCTGCTGCCTTTGAAGAAGGTGGATGGGGACACGGGGAAAGAGGGGGCTCACCGGCCATCCTGGCCTGAAGACTGCGTGCGCCGCCTGTGGGGAAGGCACACAGGTAATGGATATTTACTGTGCTGTCAGAGCTGTGGTGACACAGGGCTGTGCCCAGCTGCTCCCATCTCTACCCACCTGTACCGGGGCTGCTCTGATGTCTCCGAAGGGGAGCGCTCTGGGATGGAGAGGGAGGTGGAAGATAGGGTGGTGGCAATGGAGGCCGTGGTGGCTTCTTCAAAGGATGGAGGGGTGCAGGGCAGGAGGTCAGGCCGGCCTGTGGGGAGTAGCAAGCCTAAGCAGACTGGGTGCTATCTCCCACTTTCTTGACCTTAAGAGCTGGCCTTTTCCTGCCTCCCAGATTCTCCTATCAGCCACCCTGTCCACTCCAGTTGTTACTGATGACACCTCTACTGTCAAAAGCCGAGACCACCCAATGCCTGAAGGAGCCCTGTACTGCCACCACCCACTACCTCATGCAGCCCCAGAGCTTTCGCACATATGCATTTCATCCCCCAGCCCATGTGTCCAAGTTCCTTCAAGGTGTGCTTTCCTGGGTGCCCAGACCCCAGGCTGGCAGGTCACCTTCATCTTCCAGCGTGGGGTAGCTGCGGGCCCCTCGAAGGTCATACTGTGCATCTTCTCTCTCACTGGGGATCTGGCTAGCTGAGAAAGCGGCTGTGGGCCCCAGGGGTTTGACGGCTAACAGGGTACCACGCCCTTTCTTGGATGGAGAGGACTTCAGGGCTGCAGGGGGAAGAGGGCAGGGGTTTGGGGCTGTGTTAGCCTCAGATTCCATGGCTTCCTGGAGGTGACTTCTCCCCTCATGGCCTGCCCCTCAGGACAGGCCTGGCCTGCCCAGCCCCTCTCCAGATACCCTGCTGTTGGGCTGTGAACTGGGAAAGTATTGCCCCTTTCTGGGCCCAGTGGCCAGGACTATAGACCTGGGCTCGCAAGAACTGCTCTGCCCCAACCCAGCTGGGGACTCTCTGGCCCTGTGTCCCCTCCCATAGATGGCAGCTCACAGGAACTCTTCCGGAAGACTGTGCTACTCATGAACTTGAAGAAGCGCTCCGCATAGAAGCTAGGCCGGTGGACTGAGACAGTGTCCTAGGAAGGCACAGAGGGTAGGGACGCGGTGTCACCAGAAGACACACCCACCAGCCTTTTGTTTGTTTCCAGACACAGGGTCACTATGCAGCCCAGACTGACCTCAAACCCAAGCTTCTCCTGCCTGGGCCCCTGGAGTGCCAGAGTGACAGGACAAGCATCACCACAACACCTCGGCCCAACCTTAGCACACATTCCGGGAGTGTTCACTTGTACCTCCCTAAAGAACCTCAGCGGGACCCTCTTGCTGGAGTCTATGGGCAGTCTTGAACACATGTGGGAGTCACTGAGGCAGGGGCTGGGGGAGCGAGGCTCCCAGCAGCTTGTCACATAAAGAAACCTTTTCCAGCACTCCCTTGGAAACCAGCCCAGAGGCCAGCTCTGAGCTATGGGGCACCTGTATGTCCCCTGCCCCTCTTGGCCTGGACAGCACCCTGGGAAGTCTGAGCTGCTCAGTGGTGGGCAGATGGCTGTAATCAATGAATGAGTGAATGTGAATGACACTCACCCCATCGTGGACTAGGGCCTTCCAGGTATGTTCTAACTTTTTGATGAACCTGGAGACATATAGAAGGATCCAAAAGGTTAGTCCACTGGCCCAACACTGGCATGAGGCAGGGCTGGGAGGGACCCAGCCAGGCTGCGCTGATAAGGGCTCGGTCACCAGATGGCATGAAGGTTCTGGGTAGGTTGAGTGGGATGAGGTCAAGGTGGGGAAGGTGTGTGGGCGTGGCCAAGCAGCCTGAATGAGTGTGCTCAGGTAGGAGAGGTGGGTGTGGCTAATCTGTTGGGCAGGGTCTATGTACCTGTAGGACTGCAGAATGTCAATGATTCCGATATGAAGCAGCAGCCGCTCCCCTCGCCCATTCACAGCCGGGATTCCACCCATTCTGTGGAGAGAGACTTGGATTAGCTGAACACAGAAAGGCCAGGTCCACAAGCCTGGAACCTCTACCCTGGGGGTAACTAGGTGGCTGAAGGCTACCCTGGGGTCCAGGCTGAGCAGACAGCATGCCTCCATGCACGCATGCGCACTGCATCCAGGGCATGGCTGCCTTGCATATCCTAAGCTGTTAAACACACCACACCAGCTGCCACAAGGCCCAGTCCAGTTAGTGATGCCCCTCAATGCCACAGCAGCCGGAAGCCCTACAGCTGGAGATGAAGCCCCACCAGCTCGGCTCACTTCACGCAGGGCGCACAGGCTCACCTGGTCCCCGAGAGGCCCCACGCAGACCCTACAAAAGCCGAGGTGGTTTGAGGAGGATGGCCTCACAGGGCCTTTGCTCACTCTTCTCCCTCCACAGGTGACAGAGCTGCAGCCGACAGTCCTCAGAGCCCGAGCCAGCGTCACTGGGCCTCATCTCCCAGGCTGTGACTAAGGTAGCCCTCCCAACACTAGAGACTTTGTACCCACACTTGGAAATCTGAGGGGTGGTACACCCTCTCTTTCAGATGAGACAGTAGATGAAGAAGGGAGGGTCATGTAGGCCTCGTGCAGGGCCACTACAAAGCCACTGTCCCTCTTTTTTACGAGACAGGGTCTCACTATGCAGCCCTGGATGGCCCAGCTCCACTGCCCTGTTGGGGCCAGGAACTGTGAAGGAGCTCGCAGGCTGCATGAAGTGTACAGGAGAATACCCCATGAGACAGGTGGGGTGGAGCCAGCTCTGAGCACCCCTCTCCCCCACTTACGTGTCATCTGTCTCAATGGCTTCCCCACGGGCAGCACCACCCTGAATGGACTCCATGGCTGTGGAGTATAGGGCCTTCTGCGCTACTGGTCGCTTCTCGTCTGCTGTGCTCCGGGCGCCTTCAGCCTGGCGCTCTCGCTCCTGTTGATCTATGTTGTGCACGCCCAGCAGGAGGCTGTAGTCCATGATCTTGAAGCTCTCTAGCACCTGGTGCCAGGGACACTGGTCAGGGGACAGGTAGCCCAGCTGCTAACCCAAACCTAATGGTTACACACAGGAATCTAAGTGTTGTCTGGATGGACCAGACGGTCTGGGGGCCTGGAAGGGCCAGATCTGTCACTCCCAGATCTAGGGCTCAGATCAGGAGGTTCTCAGTCCTCCTGGGGGTCTCCTGGGGCTGGTCCCTTCAGGGAGCCTTAGAGCTATCGACAGTGAGTTCAAGAAAACAGAGTGCTGATGGCTAGTGGGGCCTTTAGTCTTCACAAGACACAGGAATTCAGAAATTGCATTTAGGTAGGCCTTGTTGGAGCACACCTTTATTACATGTAGATAGAGGCAGGTGAATTTCTGTGAGTTTGAGTCCAGCCTTGTCTACATAGCAAGCTGCATGGCTACACAGTAAGACCCTGTCTCAAAAAACAAACAAAAAGGTGCACGCACTCAGGAGGCAGAGGCAGGTGGACTCTACAGGCCAGCCTGGTCTTCAGAGTGAATTCCAGGAAAGCCAGACCTACATAGAGAAACCCTGTCTCAAAAACACAAAACAAAATTATTTTGCCTTATTTTTCAGAAAAGGTTTCATGTAGCCCAGGCTGGACCTCAAACTCACTATGTAGCTGAGTCTGACCCTCTTGAGTACAAGCCTATGCCACCACACCTGGTTTCTGTAACAGTGGGATGGAACCCAGGGCTCCAGCATGCTGGGCAGAGGCCCTACCCACTGAGCCCTGCTTCCTGCTAAGTTTCTTGCTATGTGATGCTGGGGACAGAGGACAGCCCCATGATAACTAAGTGCTAACTACCGACAAACCTTCAGTCCTGTATTTATTTAGGTTTCTCAAGACAGGGTCTCTCTGTAGCTTTGGAGCCTGTCCTGGAACTCGTTCTATAGACCAGGTTAGCCCCAACAGAGATCTGGGTGCCTCTGTCTCCCAAGTGCTGGGATTAAAGGTGTACACCACCAATCTCCGGCTGCTTGTCTTCATTTTTAAAAGAGGTTCTGTTTAACCTACACAGGCTGTGCCTAACTCCCTAGCCTGAGTGATCCTCCTGCCTCAGCCTCCCATGCTGGGACAAAAGTCACCAAAGCAAACTGGTTCCAGCACTGGGTCTGACAGGGCAGCTCTAGGGTGAGGGGCACATACTTACCAGGCAGTCACGCTGAAGTGTCTTGACCAGGGCGCCAAAGGTGTCAGCATCCAGCAGCAGCCCCTCGGGCATGTCCTGCATGAAATCTAGGTCCTTGTAGGTGGGCAGGCTCTTCTCCTTTTCCTTCTTACTTGCCCTGCGCTTGTACGTGGAGCCCTTGAGGTCGAACTTGAGATGCATCTTGACAACTCGGGGCAGCACGTTGTTCATGACCACCACGCGGATGTTCTTGCCACCTGACTGCACGCAGTACAGCCCATAGAACTTGGGCAGCAGTGTTCGTGGGTTCTGGTTGAGGTTCTGCAGGGCAAGGGAACAAGGAGCTGTCAGATGGCTATGGGCCCCCTTGGACCAACCTCATCCTTGGATATCTGAAGAGTAGGGGGGTCATTTGACATGACTTCCCAACTGCCCACTTGCCATCCACTCCCAGAACCCCCACTGAGAGATTCTAGGCCTAGGCAGGGCCCCACCCTGACCACCCCCATAGCCCCTCATTGGGGGATTCTAGGTGTGGGATCCACCCTAGACACCCTCAGTCCTCTTATCTAGTTTTGAGCCAGGGTCTCTATGTGTAGTTCCACCTGTCCTGGAACACACAGATAAGTCCTGCCTTTGCTTTCTGAGTGCTGGAATTAAAGGCATGCACCACCACACCAGGCTCTCATCTAGTATGTGCATCTAATACATAAATGTTGTGTGTGCCTGGTGCCCACAAAGGCCAGAAGTGGGCTTCAGAACCCATGGCTACGAGCTGCCATGTGGATGCTGAGAACTGAGACCCTGTTCTCTTGCAAGATTGCTGGTGCTCTTAACAACTGGGCTACCTCTCTAGTCACCATTATCTCTTTTTTGTTTATTTCTTTAAGAAAGGTTCTTACAGTGTGGCCCTGGCCAAGAGATCTGCCTGCCTCTAACTCCCACTCCTGAGAGTTGGGTTTGGAGGTGTGGGTACCACCACATCCACACTTTTTAAGATGGGATCTCACCTACAGTCATCCTGTCCCGGTCTCGATGCCAGGGTGACAGACTGCATTAGTGCACTCTGCTCCTTGCCATTTGCTAGTGGATCTGTGCATTAGCACACACGTGGAGGTCAGGGGCCTTTTCCCTGAGCCGCTCTCAGCCCCTGCTCCTGAATGGAGTCTCCCAGGGCTTTCAAGGTCAGAATTCCCATCCTGTTCCATCGTAGGAACACAGAGGCCAGCTCAAGATCAGGATGTCTGGGGTCTCACTTTGGGTATTATTCAGTGTAAGAATGATGCCCCTGAGGAGAAACTGAGTCAAAGTCTACGCTGGGCTACCCAGGGTGGTTATAGTCAGGCCTGTAAAATCACTAATGAGGTCCCTGCCCTAGGCTGAGAGTCCTGGGGTGAGTGGAGGAGGGTGGAGCCTGCTCCCAACCCTGGCAGCAGCCTTTTAAGAGGGGGTCTTCTCGTTTGTTCCCTTGACTCAGTGTCCCCTATGGCAGAGAGAGAGAGAGAGAGAGAGAGAGAGAGAGAGAGAGACTGCTGTGGGCCTGAGGGCATAGCAGGCTGGGTACAGGGAGGTAGGCATTCCAACAAAACTTGGGTCCTGCAGAGATGGTTCTGGAAGGCCCCGCACCACCCATGTGCACAGGCACGCACCATGTAGTAACCAGGCAGCAGCTTCTGCAGGAACTCAGCTTCCTTGTGCATGACGGTCTTGATGATAAACTCATCATCGCTGGTGACGTAGAAGACGGAGCCGCTGGCACCAGGGTTGGACAGCTCGATGAGTGGCTCATTGCACAGCGAGTACTGGAGGGCGGGGGTGGGGTGGGGTGGGGGATGGGGGTGGGGGAAGGTGTGAGCAGCTCCGGGGGGCTCTGTCTGCCTTGACAGGTCACACAGCACACAGAGCATACTGGGTGCTGGCATGTTCCTGTGTAACAGTGGGCACACCTCACTCCTTTCTACACATTCCCCACCTGGCCATCATGTGGCCAGGTCATCTATCTGTTCTTCCTCTACCCACTGCTGAAAGCCACCAAGGTCCTGGGAAGGCAAGGACACCTACACCTGGCTGCATTTCTCTCCCCACACTGCTGGCCCTAGAGTGTCGCGGTGAGTTCTTGGTGCAGGACACACATGAGAATTCAGGTGCCTGCACTGTGTCTCTGTCCACTGTCAACATCGCCCTAAGTTCACATCCCCCAAGGGTCCCTTGACCAAGGCTGGGCTGTCTTGCCCTGGGCCGAAGTCCTAGTAGCTCTCTCTAGATGAATCCACAGGCTCCAGGAGACTGCCCAACTCTATGGGATCTGGCAAACGAGGACCACAAAAAGGTACAATGGGGCAGACTGCCATGAGGAGGCCTATGGGTGGTGGGGAACTCAGGAGAGGGGAGGTTGTAAGGAGGAATGTTCTTAAAGGGCCCACGGGACACCCAGAGGAGCTGCACACAGCAGCTGTTCTCAAGCACCAGTCTTAGCAACACTGACTGATAGACTTACCAAGTAATCATCTGGCCGGATGCCGAAGAGCTCCCGGAAGTAACGAAAGGCAACAGGTGCATAGGTCTTGAATCGGAAATCCTGGAAGTGGTGGGCAGGGGTGAGGTTGCTCCCTTCGCTGCAGAGGAGGAAGGAGGATGCAGGGGGATAGTTGTAAGGGATGGTGGCTTTTTGTGGTACCTCTCCCCATTTATCCCACACACAACTCAATGAACAACTTGGGGATCCCTGCTTACTGAGGATGTGGTTACTGGCTTTAGGACAGACCCTTCTTCCCTCCCTCCATATTCGCATGTGGAGGTCAAAGGTCAACCCTCACTCCACTGTATTTTCTAAGACATTGAACCCAGAGGTCACCGATTTGGCCATGAAGTCTCTACCTGCCCCACACTAAGGTTATAGATGCTCACCAGGCCTGGTGTGAGTGGTTTGGGGATCAGAACCCTGAATGGCATGCTTAGATAACAGCCATGTCACCCACAGCTCCTCCCTTTCTCAATGGCACTGAGGCCCATGACACTTCCCAGGGAAGAATCAGTCAGAACAAGACAGGGCAACCCAGCCTCTCTTGCAGCTATGGTCATGTGACCAGCTGGCCAATGAGATGCAAGGAGGGCAGATGCCATGTGTGATATGGACATGAAAGCAGGAGCACAGATGGCTCACACTGAGAACCTCCTGCCTAGCTACCTGAGGGCAGCATGGTGGCCGGGGCATACCTGGGGAAGAAGATGCTCTCTACCACATAGAAGTCCTGCATGAGCACGTCACGCTCTGGCTTAGAGCTGAGGTTGCCCACTGTGTACCCGATCCCCAGCTGGATGGCACCCTTCAGGGTGGACGAGGTGGTCTGCAGGGAGGGTTGATAGGATCAGGTCATTCAAGGCCTCTCTCTCTGTGCTGTGCAGTCCCCCACCCCAGTGTGCTGCAATGGGGGGCATCCAGGTGCAGCCAGATCCTAGCATCCATCAAGCCTACAGCCACCACCCACAGCAGGGCCCCTCCAAGCCACACAAGGGTACACCATGACAGGAAGTGCATTTTGGGTGCAGGGGCTCAGAGGTGCAGCTGCTTCTCTTGGGGATGGGTGGGTTTTCTTCTAGGACAGGACAGCAGGGACAGTTTCACCTCTCTGATGGCTGCACACTTTAAAAGAGGTCAATTCAAAGGAATGTACTGGCTATGTCACCCAACTGTGTTTATAGCAACAGCCATGGATGGAGGCTGTAGCCCCTGGTGGCCCACAAGGCCTGTGGGTTGGCCATGGTCCTTCCCTCCCTGGCCACCCATGACGCCCCCCCCCCCAGCCACCTTCTTATATGTGGTCTCTCCAGATGCGTCCACGCCTCGATGGCCCAGCTTCTTCCCATGGCCAGGGCCAGGCTGCCCTGTCACCAAGGGAGTCTGGGGAGCAAAAACAGGTTAGGAATGTTTACAGAAGGTCCTGGAAATCCAGAAGGGGACTTGGGAAGCACAAGGTCTCTGGAGCTATGGGCTGAGGGGAGAGGGCCAGGTCTGTCACCAGGGGCCAAACGGCCTGTGGTTCTCCATACTTGCCACCAGGGGGTGCACTGCTCCCAGGCACCCAGATGGTTGCCCATCCCATCCACAGGACACTGGAGCCTGCTCCCCACCTCCAAGCCCTGTGTCTCTGGATGTCTCTGGGACCCTCCCATCTGAGGACTTGAGGGAAAACCATCGACAGCTAAGGGAACAAGGTCCTCCAATTCCTCACCATGGATTCAGGGGCAGGTAGTGCCCTAAACACCAGGCTCAGGAGGCCAAGGCCCCAGCCTCTTACTGTATGGATAATGGGGACCGCCCCCCCCCAACTACTGTTCTCCCTGCTCAACACACTTAACAAACAGAAATGCTGTGCATAGTCAGAGGACACACATTGGATGCACAGGCCTCTACCTCCTCAAAGAGGAAGCTCGGCCAGACTCACCTCTGCAAGGACAGCTTTCTTCTGGGTCATACCTGGAGAGAAAGGGTACATTTAGCATGTGTCTTCCATGTTTCACCTCTATAAACACATGGAGGCGAGAGGTTGGTGCTTTCCTCAATTGCTCTCCACCTTGGTTGGTTGGTTAGCTGATTAGAGATAGGGTTTCTCTATGCTGCCCTGGCTGTCCTGGAAGTCACTCTGTAGACCAGGCTGGTCTCAAACTCATAGACATCTGCCTCTTCTGCCTCCCAAGTGCACTTTGGCTTTTGAGACGGAGTTCTCACCGAGCTTGGCACTCACCATTAGACTGTGCGGCATCTCAGAGAGCTCATGACCCTCCTGTGTCCATTTTCCCAGTGCTGAGGACACAGGTGTGCCAAGACACCCAGCTTTTACCTGTATGCTATCGATCCAAATTTGGTCCCTTGGCCTGCAGGGTAAGCCCATACCCATCAAGCCAGCCAGGGTCCATGAGGCGCGCAGGTGTGTCTCCAGCCCAGGCTCACTGGCATCCCTGGATCCAGAGATGGGAACTAGGCGACTGTGCCCATGTGAGTTTCATAGCCAGGGCTGTGTGGGTTGTAGTGCTGGCAATGAAAGGACCAGGGACTTGGAGGCTGTGGGGTCCCAGAGTGGGTGGAAGTCCTGGAAGCTGACCATGCTTGCCTTGGTCTCTTTGCAGTAGAACAGTCTGTGGTTTTGAGTCCGGGGCACAAAGTGTTCATAGCATGGAGCTGCTGGGGCACAGAGGCGTGACCAGAGTCACTCGGAGAAGGCAGGTGCCTCTACCGGAAAGGGTTGTGGGGGGTAAAGGATGGGTTTGGAATGATGCTGAATCTGTTTCCTAGAACCTAATGTCACTGCAGAGTCTTGGGGGAGAAAGGGGCTGTGAGTCAGGGATGTTTGGCACAGCTGGGTACAGGAAAAAAAATACCCTGATCCCAACCCTGACCAGGATTGGGGACCACGGGCAGCTGCACATGGTTGATAATGGGAAGCCATCCGATGGCAGGCACCTGGTAGCCAGTGGAAGGTTCTACAAACTGACCTGACATTTGCCTTGATAGTGGAGTAATATGTAGATGCAGCAGGGGGCCCAGAGAGGAGGAAGGAAGAGAGGTGTGGGGGGGGGGGCTGGGTGAACCAAGGCTGAAGAGGAATGTTCTAGAACTTGTAGGAGGCCCCTGGAGTTGGAAGCAAGAACTCAGCAGCTCCCAGGCTGCAGATGAAAATTCCAAAGTCCCAAATCCCCATGCTGCCCCACCCACAGCCAAGCTGAGACCCCAGTGTGACCAATGGGTTCACTGACCTCACAGGGGGCTTACCTCAGTTTCTCTTCCTGCCTGAAACATGGGAGACAAGACAGACCCCGGGGACACAGTTTGGAGGGGGACAGAATCACTCAGAGGCCCTGACATGGCACAGCCGCCCTCTCCTCCCAGGCAATTATCTTCTGAGTGAGCAGCCCCTTTTTCCAGTTAATTATGTTTAAAAATAGTCAGGGATGGGGGGAGGCAGGGGCACCAGCTGGCTATGGGTGTGGTTCGTGAGCCCTGGTCAGCCCACATCTGCTGGCAGCTCCCATGCAGGTGGGTGACTCTGCCTACGTGGAACCATGCAATGACACCTCGACCTTCAGGCCATCATCTTCTTCCCTAATGCTCCGTTACCTTGGGTAAGTGTACAAATCTCTCTGGGCAGGTTGGGAGCTATGTCCCCATCTGTCACAACCACCTAAGCCTGCCACACAGGCCGCAGTGATGCGATGCTTGGGGGCATCACCCCAGCTACACTCTCTTATTTCTGTAGACCTGGCTGTGCCCATTGCCTGCAGATACCCTCACTAGGTATCTCCTGGTGGCACCAAACACTGCCACATCCACGCTGCCCTGTTCTGCAGACCCCATCTGCGTCCTCCTGCCTTCAGCAGGGTCTGTGGATGGACTGACAGATGGATACCGGTTCTCTGCCTCCACACACTGCGTGGGCTGTGAAACTGAGGCAGGGAACAAGTGAACTGGGGCCATCCCAGCTGCAAATCCCAATGACAGCAACAGAGAAGAAACAGAGAGGCCTAGGATACAGGAAGGAAGTGAAGGGGCTGAAATGGACAGGAAACAAACTATGTCCAGGGAGATCCCAGATCCTTGACCCAGCCTGACTGGACCTTCACTGCCTCAGAGAGCACAGCTGGGAGGAGTCTCTATCAGCCCACAGACTGGGTCCCACCACGTGCTTCCTGTCCAGCTGCCTCCCTGCTTCCCTGCTCTATCCTACTGGGGCCTCAGCACAACTGTGTCCCCTGCAGCTCCCTCTTGCCAGATTCCTACAAAGCTTGCCCCATGGCTGAGAAAGACCCCCAGACATCCCATGGGCACTCTGAACAACCCTCATGAGCAACTGTTAAGGGCCTGGTGGCTGGCTGACAGCCGCAATGCGACATGTACACAGACCTGCTGTGACCCCGGGAAGAGCCGAGCCATGTCAGAGAAAGAGAGGCCCTCTGACAGTTGGCACGTGGTCCTGGTGGTCCCAGCATCTCTATCACGCACAGGAGCTGGCTCACAGTGCTTCTCCTACTAAGCATGGCTACAGGCGAGACCCACAAAAGAGCTGCCTGGGGCAGCAACCCCAGGCACCGTGGCATGGCTGCCGGCACAAGTGTGCAGAGCTCCCTCATGCGGGCCACTCATCGGCAGCAGTGCCACACTAAGACATGGGGCTGTGCACTGAGACCTCCAGGAGGAGTGCAATGACAACTCCGCTGCCCTGTGGGACTCCTCACACACTACAGTGTGTTCCTGCCCGTTCATCCATAGACAACAACAGGAGCGAGGCCTGACACTGAGGACTTGTACTCAGAGAAACCCAGACAAGCAAGCCACAGAGTGGACTCCGTGACAGACACACCCAGAACAGGGGAGAGAAGTGTGTTTGTGGGCTAGGGGCTGCCCTAGGGGGATAATGCTTCCTCTAAGAGACCGAATGAATGTTCAGGAACATATAGATTTGCTGGATGCACAACCAATGAACATCCAATATCACACAGGTGTGCACCGTAAGTAAGTGATGCCTACAGTCTACCAATCAGAGCTTAAAAAGCCACACACAGAAGTGGATGCCCATGGTTGTGAACACATTGCCACCACCTAGTCTTAGGGGACATGCAGACTCTAGCTGCCACAGACATTGGGCCCTGACCTCCAAGTAGCCAGCATCAGAACACTGTGTGTAGACTTTGCAGCTAAACCTTTCACTGAGAACCACCAACTTCCCTCAGCAGCTGCATATCTTGCTTTCCCCAACCCTCCCCTGCAGTGTATGAGGGACAGGCCAGTGGTTTCCTGCAGGGCAGAAAGCTCAGCTTCCTGAGAAACAGACAGGTCCAGAAGGCCAAGGCCATGGCCGAATCATGAACCTAACCATGTGCTTGATCTATACAAGGCCAAGCCACCCTGTGCCCACTGTGCCCCTGGGGAAACCTGTCCGCACTTGGTACACAGGAGGGGTTTAATGTTCTCTGCGACAGCCATTTTAAAAGATGTCAGAGTGATCCAGTCCTACATGAAGAACCACCTGATCCAGAAGCCTCTAATACCAAGCACCAGAAAGTCTACTGAGAGAGGGACTGGTGGCTATGCAGCTTACAGAGGCACTGCAGGGCACCAACGAGGCCCTGGCCTCTGTCCCCAGAACAGCAGAAATTGAAAATAAAAGGAGAGGGCTGGAGAGATGGCTCAGAGGTTAAGAGCACTGGCAGCTCTTCCAGAGGTCCTGAGTTCAATTACCAGAAACCACATGATGGCTCACAACCATCTGTAATGAGATCTGGTGCCCTCTTCTGGTATGCAGGCAGAACAATGTATATGTAATAAAATAAAAGAAGAAAAGGATAGTGGAGTAGATGGAGGAGGGAACAAAGGAGATGGAGGAGAAGATGGAGAAGGAGTAGGAGATAGAGGAGATGGAGAAAGGAGGAGATGGAGGAGATGGAGAAGATGGAGAAAGGAGGAGATGGAGAAGATGGAGAGAGAGGAGGAGGAGATGGAGAAGATGGAGGAGGAGATGGAGAAGATGGAGGAGGAGATGGAGAAGATGGAGGAGGAGATGGAGAAGATGGAGGAGGAGATGGAGAAGATGGAGGAGGAGATGGAGAAGATGGAGGAGGAGATGGAGAAGATGGAGGAGGAGATGGAGGAGGAGATGGAGAAGATGGAGGAGGAGATGGAGGAGGAGATGGAGAAGATGGAGGAGGAGATGGAGGAGGAGATGGAGAAGATGGAGGAGGAGATGGAGAAGATGGAGGAGGAGATGGAGGAGATGATGGAGAAGATGGAGAAGATGGAGGAGATGGAAAAGATGGAGAGGGAGGAGGAGATGGAGAAGATGGAGGAGGAGGAGATGGAGAAGATGGAGTATCTCAGGTAAGGAAATGACTAAAACTGACAGTGACATCCATCTTTCCAAGCCTCCCAGAGGCTGAGGCAGGGGGACAGTGGTAAGCTGGATGTCACCATGGAGACACAGCACTGCTGAGGTGGTGGCCCAGGACTGTCATCCCTGCACAGGGAGGTAGAGGCAAGAGGCCCAGGAGTTTATTACTTGGCTACTGTTCAGGATCAGAAGGGCCATCCTTGGCTATATGATGACCTTAAGCCAGCCTGGGCCACGTGAGAGTTTCTCACACAAGAAAAGCTGCAGTATCTCCTGTGGGAGACCACCTTTCCCTGGTGAACATGTCACTACATTGCTGGTACGTCCTGTCACCCACATACTGAGAAACTGGGTCCTGGAAGCTGTTGTGGAACAGGAAGGGTACAAGGTTGCAAAGACAGAGAATTTACCAAACCCTGGCATTCCCTCCCTCTCTGCTGAAGACAGGACCCTTGAACTCCACAGGCCTCCAGGGGCGCTGGCCCCCTGCTTCACCACCGATGCCCAGAAGGCTGAGGCAGGGGATGACATGTTTCTGGCTAGCCTGGGCTACAGAGCTAGATGGTGTCTCCTGGGGTGTGTGGGCAAGGGGAAGATA